GGCGGCGGGGCGGTTTGGGGTAGCTGCCAACTTTTGGGGCCTGCGACATGCTCCCCGCCCCCCTGCGCCTGCCCCAGCCCGGTGTGCCCCACCCGCGGTCGGCGGCGGGGGGCCGGCCTTTTTGTCGCGGCCGCGGCCGAGCATTGCGTACCCGGCAGGGGACCCTCCGGGGGTGGGGGGGGGGGGGCGGGGGGGCGGCGGCCGGCAGGTCCTGGTGCCCCCGGGGGTGCCCTGGATGTGTGCCCTTCCGGCGCCCCCTTGCGGCTGCCTCCCGAAGCAGGGGGACCGGGCGGCGGCCAGCAGGCCAGGTGGGTGGGCATCCCCCTCACGGCCCGAGCACTTGCCGCAAGTCGCCCCCCCCCCCGCCCTGTCTCGCCGTCGCCGTGCGCCGTTGCCTCTTTGGCTGCCATCGCGTGCGAGCGGCCAGGCCGGCGCCGAGCACGCGAGGGCAGGCACCCCGAGGCCGGGAACAGGCGAGAGCAGGGCTGCCCCAGGGAGGGGGGCAGGGAAGATGCGCCCTCACCGGAGACAGGCGTCGCTCCAGAACCGGCATATGTGTCACCCGGCGGCCGGGCGCCAGCGCACGCCGGAGGTGCCCCTTTCTAGAATGTGCAACATGCGCGGCAGGGCACATTCCCCTGCCCGGAGCCTGGCCCCGCTGCCGGGAGCGGACGGGACGCGGCGGGGCGGGGGCCGAAAAAAGATCTTTATTAATGGGTTGCTACATTTAATGTGCCAGCCGCCTCGCCATGCACCAGGCCCAAAGGCCCGCTCTCGCGCCGCCCCCTGCCCCGCTCCCCGTGCCGGGGCCCGGGTGTGGCTGGTTTCCCTGTGGATGTGTCGCGCCTGGCGCGGGGCAGAGGCCGCGGGCCCCGCATCGGGCGTGCTGTGCAGGCCCGGCGTGAAATCAATCACCCGCTGATTTTCACGTTGCGACCGGTCCGTCGGGCGCCCGGCGCTCTGTGTTGCCCTTGGCGGAATGCCGCACAGTTAATTTGCCAATCAAGGTCGCGAGAGAGAGAGAGAGAGAGAGGGGGGGGGGGGCAGTGAGTGCGCCAGCCCCCCCATCCGTGGCCGGGTTCTCGGCCGGCTCATCCCCTGATGGCGGAATCTTGGCGCCCTGGTGTGTGGGGCGCCGGCGAGCTTGGAGCCGGAGCCCGGGAGGGGCGACGGGCAACGGCAGGTTGGGGTCCATCCTTCCTGGGCGACGCCCAGAAACCGGGGGGCCGGTCAAGGGGGTCCCGCCGGGGCTCG